ACTGAAAATTGCCTAGGAATTAGCCAGGGAAAGACTTAGAGAAAGGCTACAGTGAGAGGAAGGGTGTTCAGACAGGCAGAATACCTTTTAGAGAAAGGGGATCCAGACAGGTAGAGCAACTTACGAGAGCCCAGTAGCTTTCATCAGAGAATGTCACAGGGTTTCTTGATAGTTTATAATGTCCAGAGCATAGATTGCGAAGAGGTAAGTATGGGGTAGGGATAGGTGGCAAAAAATAAGATGGGATAGGTAAGCAACAAATTTAAATATGTAATGGTGAGTGTAGAATATCATCATCGATACAGTAAATCAATGAAAGAATGTAAACAAAGCATTATAATTAATTCCTTATTTTAAAAGAAACATTCTGGAGAGGAATACATGAATAAAGGGAGATGACACATGCACATGTCCATGCACACATAACTAAACCGTCCTGATGAACAGGAACAAAACTGGTTGGAAATAAAGGTTTAGGTTTTCATCTTGTTGACTTTGTTACTTAAGATTTCAAACTTCAAAGAGCAAAGTGAAATCTAGTTAGTGAAAGAACAGGGCTAATGTTAGCCAAAGTGTCTGTGAATAGAATCTTTAGTTCACAATCAACAAGAACTTTCAAAGGAGGAAGTGTAGGAATAGTATTGATGGCGTGAAGATAAGCACACCTATTTCAGCCTTGAATGACTCATTAATTTCCCTCACCACACCCTTGAAAAGGGAGAATATCAATAGTTTATTTTATTCATTTTTTGCTCTAGGTCTAATATTTACCTCCTTATTTAACTGACACCTAAATAAAAATATATTTTTATAAGTAACTCCATTTTAGCAGCTTTGGAAGATGCTATTGATGACTAATATGAATAATACATCTAATTAAAGTTATTTTTTAATATTTTTATTGATTTCAGAAGGGAAAGGAGAGGGAGAGAGAGAGAGAAACATCAATGATGAGAGAGCATAATTGATCGGCTGCCTCCTGCACTCCCCCCACTGGAGATCGAGCCCACAACCTGGGCAGGTGCCCTTGACCTAAATGGAACCCAGGACCCTTCAGTCTGCAGGCCAATGCTCTATCCACTGAGCCAAATCAGCTAGAGCTAATGTTATTTTCAATATTCACTTTCCTGGGTTTCATAACGTGAAGAGAGGTGAATCAGACTACTCCTCATGGAGAACACCCTAATGCAAACCACTGGTTGGCCTCCAGGTAACAGTGCTCTGGAGGCTCTGGTGTGCCTGGGGGACTGCACAAAGCCTCAGAGCATTTGGCACATTGATCTCATATCCATACACCCAAGTGTAGTCTTCATGCTAATGAGCATAATCAATTGTTTTTGTCTAGTACAACTATTGACATTGATATACTAGGCTTTAGTTTTAAAGTATAGGAAAGATGAATAAAGCATAAATGTTTAAACCCAAATGTAAATGAAAAGGGTGGGGAAATTGATTTTTGTTCATTCAGTTTTAACAGAAATAACAGTTTAAGATAATTTTTTATGTCATACTTATATTACTTTTCAAGGAAAAGACCATTTCAGGCATGAAGAATATCATTGCTGAGATGGAACAGGCATCAAGGTAAACCACTCGTCCAACAAGAATTTGAGTACATATTTATGAGGGGCAAAGTACTACGTTAGGTACAAAGATAGTAAACGGGGGCTTAGTGTTACATAGAGGGTGGTAACTTTCTAATGTTGGAAGGAGGCCTAAGTCTGTGTGGGTAAGTAGAAGAGGAAATG